CAGACAGGGTCGTCCCAATATGCGTTTTTGCAATTTGCATATAGGCAAAAACGCATAAAAATAGGCATTCGTGGGATGCGTGCTGTAACAGCAATACATAATTGGCCAACGCACGGACTGCCCTTGCGAAAATGCGTTTTTTGTATAGTTTTTGTCGCTAGGGGCACCGGTTTTTCCTAACAAGAAGAATTGAGACTGACCGTCATAGCTGTCAGGAAGCATCCGTTTAAAATCTCAGCTTTCTAGCTTCCCTGGTTCCCGAGTTACAGCAAAAAGATTCAGTTGGCTCGTACTTAGAAATCACGCATATCCAGGGGCTAAGTCTGAACACATTAGAACTTATGTAGACGAGGAAAATCCCATCAAAATTCCAGTCTTCTGGCTTCTCGGGTTTTCAAATTAAAAAGTTACCCAAGGAAACTTTGGCGGGCTCGTGCGTGGCTATCACGCAGATCTGAGGGCTGAGTTTGAACTCATTAATACCTACTTGGACGGGGAACATCGACTTAAAATTCTAGTCACCTAGCTTTCCAGGTTCTTGATTTAACAACTTACCCGAAAAAAACTTCGGCGGGCCAGTACGTGGGTATCATGCATACCCGGGGACTGCTTTGAAAAACTTACGTGGACGAGGAACGTCCCTTTAAAATTTCTGCTTTTTGGCTTTTCTGATTTCCGAGTTAGCGACCTACTCGCAAAAAACTTTTACGAGACCGTGCGTGGGCACCACATGGGTGGGATAGCCCATTTTGGGGGATGGGATGGGCCCATATATGTAGATTCAGTTCCCATATTTTCAGCCCTATAGCTTTCATAGGTCTCGAAATGAAAAATCGGTACAGACGAATACACATATATATATACACACATACAGACAACCTCTCGTCGGTATGCGTTTTCTGCATTGCATAGGTGCAAAAACGCATAAAAAGTCAGTAGCTGCGCACAGTAAAGTTGTCGATGGGATGACACGTTTTTACACAAATCCTGAAGCTATCATCAGATCATTGGCAATAAGAAAGCTCGTTGATTCATAGTTTAGCATAAGCTGTCATGTTGGCAGTGTTTTTTGGTTATTTGCTGCATGAGGTGGTAGAGCGTCCAGTTGCAACACCGTGGAGTGCAAGCCATTTTTTAACAGTTTCTAGAAAATGAATGTTCTGGATAATGAATGCTTTGAAATCTCACTTGTAGGCGGTTGCGTCTTGGTTTTACACAACAACTGCCATGCTAGGAGCAACTCATCGCTGCCGCACCGTTTTCCACGCGTCCTACACTTGTTTGTGATTGTCGCGCATGGAACGCTTACTGCAATTCCGTCAGTTTAAGTGCAGTGGAAAAAGTAATGATTTCAAAAAATTTGCGCAAGCGATTTGTCTTAACCACCTTTGTGTTTTTAAAAGAATAGACCAAATTCAAAATAAATTTTACACTGGCTATCGAGAAGGTATCAGGTATGCCTTCTCAGGGCAGTAACAAATGTAATTCAAAATTACATTTCAAATCACTATCGTGTTGCGTTTGTAAGTTTCATTAGTACAGGTGCACTTTTTATGAGACAGTGATTACTCTTTTCGTTTTTATTTTGTACGACGCCAGGAATATGTATCAGCCGGAAGTGAATTCTTATGTTCTTTAACCGACATAGGATTTCCGCCACGATATCCTTTCCTAACTACGGGGACCGGTATCGCTACGGTACGGAACGGTGTCTTCAATATGCATGATAATTGCGAAAAGTGAAGTTGTCGACGATTTTGCATCACCAAGTTTGCAGTGGAGCGTACGCTCACAAGAAGTGGACGCTTGTGAAAAATAACATCATAGTTTTAGTGCTGGACAAAATATGCTAGCATTCTCGTGAAATTTATCCCTACTCGCTTGTCTGACTGCCCGAAAAAATAATGAAAGTATTGCAGTTCAAACATTTGATGCCTCGTACGCTTGGCACATGAATAATCAAAAATTTATTTTAAGCATTTCGGTCGCATGATAGCTATCAACATTCTCATAAAATTGCAGCATCCTACTCAATCTGACTGCAAGGTTAAACCAGTGGTAATACTGCAAAAATTTGAAATTTCACTTGTACTCTAGCGGACCCAGCAATTATGCAAATCCAACAGGCTAGTAATTAACTTCTAGCGCTTCAAGGGCGCAAGAGCTTGCAGTGAACAACTTTTTTTTTTTTTGATTTTTACTGCTCTGAGCAATCTCGAAACCAGTTTTCTGGGACCAACTGTTAGTCGAAAAGCTAAGAAGGCTTACCGATGTCAAAAATACTCGGCTTCTTGTCGACACCCACGTTTCGAATTCTACCCGGTGGAGTCTCGCCAAAATTGTCCACAACAAGCCGTTTCATAGCAAACGGATTCTCGCCATAGTTAAACGTGTCCGGGTTGTTGCTGATGGCCACTCTTCGAAGTTCATCTGGTGATTTCAAAATGTACGAAGGCTCACCGAAGTTAAGAAAGCCCGGATTGTTGTCGACGCTCTCGCTTCGAGGCTCTTCTGACAACACCGTTTTAATTCTCATCGAAACCAAAAAAAAGTCGTTGGTGACGCGCACCAGCGGTTCCACGCAGTCTTGCGTTTTTGCAGCATTTCGTGCTATACTAAAGTCGCTCGAAAATCCAATAAACTTCTCAAATTTCGAGGACAAGTAGACCAGTATGGTCCTCGAAATTTAAGAAGTTAATTGTATAAATAAGTAGTACTCGGACGCGGAATGTTCCGTTAAAATTTCAACTTCCCACCTTTTCTGGCCCCTGAACTAGCAGTTAACCGCCAAAAGTTTTCGTGGTTTCGTAAGTGAGAACTATGATCATCGAGGGGCTGAATTTGATAGGTTGGAGTTGTAGATGGACTGAGAATATCCCCTCAACATTTCAGCTTCCCAGCTTTCCCGGCCCTCGAGTTAGCCATTTTTCCGCCAGGAACCTTCGCAGGTCTTCGACGAGAATCACGCGCACCTAGGGAAGGAATTTGAAATCTCTGAGTTTAATGTGGACGGAGAAAATGACCCCAAAGGTTCAGCTTTTTAGCTTTTCTGGTTTCCGAATTAGCGATTTTCTCGCCAAAACCTTCACGCGCTCGTACGCGGGGTCCATGTATGCGTGAGAATGGGTACGGCGATCCTAAGGTTGCCGAGTTGAAAAACCCAGGCAGACGAACACACACTTACACAAACAAGCATGCATGCACACCCATCGAACGAATGCCTATTAATGATTTTCACTGCTTTGTACTTCAGCCTACGCAAAAATATTTCAAACATTGGAAAGTAGTTAAAAATTCCACGCACCTGTGCACGAAAGCTGAATTCGAAACCTTGAAGAGCGAATATCTTTCCGTGATTCCTGAGTTAATAGTTTATCCGCCAAAATTTTCACGAGGCCTTATGCTCAAGAGTGCAGGGAACGCTGAATTTGAATAGGCAAGATTGAGTGTGGGCAAGGGGTCGTTACCTAAAATTTCAGCTCCCTAGATCTCGTGGTTCCCGAGATATTAATTTATCTGTAAATATTAATTTACCGGGGTCGTACTTGTTACCAGCGGGTGCAGGAAGATAGAATTTGAGCCTTCTGGATCGCACGTGGTCAGGAGATATACCCACAAAAGTTTAGCTTCCTAGCTTCCGTAGTTCCCGAAATACTGATTTTACCCGAAAAGCTTTACGGGGCCGTACGTGTTACCCGCAGGTACGGGAAGGCTGAATTTAAATTTGCTGCGTCACCCGCTGGCGGGAAACACTATACCAAAATTTCAGTCGCCTAGCTTTTGTGGTTCCCGCGTTGAAAGTGCGGGGCAAAATGTGACACACACACACACACACACACAAACACACACAAACACACACCCACACTGACAACCCCGTGACAATATGCGTTTTGTACTGCTGTTACACAGCACGGTTGGGAGAACTGGATGAAATAACTCTATGCATATTGCAGTGAGAGGGTGGTTTTATTTTTCAGTGAATAATGTGTTTGCCTGTACAGTGATAATTCTAGCAAGTGACTGAAAATGTGAGATTTCGAGAGCACAGTTGCTGGATTTGTGCAGCGAATAAATTTTTGTTATAAATTGCTATGATGACCGCACTCTTTTTTAAGCGTTTTTGCTGTGATGAGCTATAACAGCTTTGTAGCGCTGCTACAGCGGAAAAACGCATCTTGTCGAAGGGTCGCCTGTATTCGGAAACGAATGAACTTGTCATCCACTTTCATCTCAGCAACCAGGAAAGCCGGGAGGCTGATATTTTGGGTGTATTTTCCTACCCCGTGTGTCATCCGCCCGTTTTAAAATTCTCTCATACGCGCCTCGACCTCGGTACGGACTCTCGAAATATGCAAATTTCTTTGCTGGGAAAAGATTTGCGAACCAGGCAACTATAAAGATGAGACTTTACGGGAAGATTCTCAGTGCATGTGCGAGCTAAGAATTTCAAATTCAGCTGCCAAGAACGTTTGTGCCACAACTTAGGGCATTTCAAAAATATTTGTAGCGAAGTGGATATTTCAGTTACCGGATAAGGTACGAGGCTGAAACTTCGCTAGAACATTCTACTTTCATGCTTCGTCCTAATTTTGCTCGGAGATGAAAGTTCCTGCGGATGGTAATGACAAATGCTCGACTTTACTGCAGACTCAGAAACGAGTGCATACTGCAGCGAACGACCGCACTCATCCTCTTCCAACATGTAAATGAATTCACTTACATTTTTTGATTTTTATGCGTTTTGTG